CTAGCAGATGTCAACTCATTGTATACTTTTTTAGTGTAGAACTTACCCTCATTCAGCATGCTCCCCCACAGGCCAGTAAGGTCCGGCACAAGTGCACGTTGTTGCAAAATGGCTTTGAAAATACCTGAATCGTTCAATTTGGGATTTCTGCACATGATCTCATCATTCTTCAGATAATACGCATGAATCCATTGAACCCATAAGTTGTCAGCCTTTGCACAAATATTCCATAGCAGCTTCAGAATGAGCACTCTATTCTAGGAGGTCATATCCTTAACATTAAGCCCACCTTTTGTGGATGGTTTACAGATCTTATCCCAAGCAATAGGACTCTTTTTACTCACAATACTACATCATGTCCAAAGAAAGGTTCGGCAAATAGCATTTATTTTGTGCAAAACAACTTTTGGAAATAAAAAACATTGCATCCAGTATGAAGAAATAGCATGTAAAACACTCTTGATGAGTTGTAAACGGCCTGCATAGCTTAAAAAACTAGCGCTCCAGTGTGTAATACTGCATACCATTTTATCCACAAGAGGCATATAATGGGTCACCGAGAGATTCTTACTGGTCACAGGCACTCCCAAATAACGAAACGGGAGAGTCCCCTCACGGTAGGAAGTCATATGCAGGATTCGCTCTTTGGCATCAGCTGTCATCCCACCAAAGTAAATGTTACTTTTGGCAGAATTCATCTTCAAACCTGTGGAAGCTAGGAAAATTTGTAAGGTTTGTTGCACAAGCTCTATCGATTTAGCGTCTCCCGTGGAAAATACCAACAAGTCATCTGCAAAAATCAAATTAGTAAGTGACAACCTCTCACACTTGGGATGATGATTGAATTTCGGATTCTTTTGCATTTGGAGAAACAATTTATTCAAATATTCCATTGTGATGACAAACAAAAGAGGAGATAAAGGATCCACTTGACGAATACCCCGTCTCGCCTCCAATTTGTCCGTAAGCATACCATTAAGATTAAACTGATACGAAACAGTAGTCACGGTTGTCATAACCCAGTCCACAAACTTCCTTGGAATTCCAAGTTCACACATGATTTGCTCCAGTGCACACCAATCCACCATATCATACGCTTTCTGAAGATCAAGCTGTATCATGCATCTAGGGGAGATCATCTGCCTGTTATACCCTTTAATCAGTTCTGTTGCCAATAAAATGTGGTTTTGAATATGCTGCCCTGTCACAAATGCAGCTTGCGCTTTATTGATAACACTGCCCAACACCTTGCCCAATCTAGCCGTTAAAATCTTGGAGATTATTTTATAGAAAATGGAGCACCCTGCTATCGGACGATAGTCACGAATGGTCTTGGCTGCTGGGTGTTTGGGAATAAGGGTAACTATGGTTTCATTCATAGCTTTGTAAATCACAGTATGCTCAAAAAATTCCTTTACAGCATCTATCACGTCCTGTTCAATAATCTCCCAGCTGGATTTGAAAATTTTTGCCCCATAACCATCAATGCCTGGACTTTTTGAATCGCCAATTCCTTTTAAAGCACATTTGATTTCAGTCACAGTTACAGGTGCAATGAGACAGTTCCTCTCCAAACCCGACAATTGGGGACCTTCCCTCATAACTGTTATATCAATCATTTGCAATCTGCTATCGCGCGATCCCATGAGGTTCTTGTAGAAATCACAAATCTCAGCAGCAATAGCATCAGAATTCTGAAGAACAGAGCCATCATCCTTATGCAGAACTTTGATGGAGGTAGCAGCATGTTTAGCTTTCAGAGAAGCATAGAAAAACTCAGTATTGCTATCTCCTTTCCTAAGCCAATCAATTTTGGTCCTTTGCCTTATCATTTGTTCGTTGATCTCATGCCAATAGATAACAAAATCAGTGCAGCTTTTGACTTTATCAATAATCTCAGAATTCATTCTGTCCAGACACAGTTCCTCCTGGGCCATCTTGAGATCAGTTCTGGCTTTAGCTATAGTTTTATTTACATTAGACAAATGCTTACTCAGCCTACTAATAGGACCCTGCAAACGCAGTAACTTATACCAAAGCTTGGCCATAGGTCTGCCCTTCATTGGTTTCTGCCAGCTCTCACCAACAACCATCTGATATCCTTCCATGTGAGTTACACAGTTAGTAAATCTGAACTGAGAAATCTTTACCTCCCTCTGCATACGTCCATTCAAGCACAGTAAATTATGATCAGATACACTGCAAGGAAAGATAGTCAGGTTCAGATCAATGTTATCCATAAGCCACTCCATGTTTCCCAGAACATGATCAATTCTAGAATAAATTGTTCCCACAGAATGTTTGTTGGTCCAAGTATAGTAATCCCCAAGGTTGTCTTTCTCAAAAAGGCCAACTTTCTCCATTACATCTCTGAGGTCCACGATTTCTGCTTCAGTCACCAAATTACCCCCAATTCTGTCCATGGCTTTGATCACATTGTTGAAATCCCCCATAAGGACCCAAGCTCCATGCTGACTCGAATGAACCCTCTCCAAGTCAGTCCACAGCCTTCTTCTATCATCCAGCTGGTTAAATGCATAAATTGTTGTCATCCAAGTTTTAAAAACTCCATTCAAATCATAGATACCACAGTGGATCATCTGTGCAGAGCATTTGACCAAACGAACCTCAACCCTACTGTCATCCCAATAGATCCAAATTCTTCCATTAGGATGATGCTGATAATTATCCAGGAATCTACCTCTAAGTTTCAGCTGCTCTCTGACTTTATTAGCTTTAGCAGATTTCACACGAGTTTCAATTAGAATGGCTATCACATGGTGAAGATTAAGGAGATGGGAGCTAATCTCCCTTAGCTTCCCCATTTTATTTAACCCCCTCAAATTCCAGGATATAATCATTGCCCAGTATTTTGAAGCTCTAGGAGATCGTTCAAAATTCCTAGGGCATCAAAACCATTATCACAAGCCAAGTTACCTGCTGATGCTGCAGACCCATGATGCTTCCCTCTGACAGTCACACTTCTAGGGACCTCCTTCCACGCATCCTCAGACGATTCTTGCATACCTGTAATTCTTCCATCTGAATCCTTCTTCCCTGAAGCTTGACTCGTATTCTCACTCTGAGAACCTACTGGACCCATTCCCACTGAAGTTGAAAGGAGTGTTGAGGCTTGCATTTCATCGGGAGGCTTTGGTATCCAGTGCTGCTTATGAGGGGTTTTAGCACAGTTATGCCCTAGTTTTTGGCACTTACAGCAGAACTGTGGCTTCCACTCATACACAATGGGTTGCTGAAACTTGAGGCCTCCTTCATCCACAATAGAGATATACTGAGGCAAATCCTTTGTAACGTCCATTTCCACTAGGATTCTAGCATACGAAACTCGTAATCTATTGGCGGTACATTCATCTGTGACAATCGGATTGCCCAGACAACTACCAATTTTGCAGAGGCTTGTATCCCCCCATAAGGTGAGAGGCAATTGGGGCAATTTAATCCAGAGTGGGAGCGTGCGCAAAAGATCATCCTTCAACTTAAACTCAGGTCTCCATTCCCGAATTAGCAAGGAAAACTCTTAACATATTTTTTAAACACACATTTTTTTAATTAGTTAAAATTTATATTAGTCTCACTAAATCAAGTATATTCATCATAAATTTAATGGATTAAATTTAAATTTTAATAAATTAGAGTGTATCCTTAGCATAATTTCATCTAGACACAATATAATGGATGCAATAAAAATAAATAAGTTTTTGTTGAAGAACAATATTCTCTAACCGAGCATGAAAATATGAAATTCTAAACTAATTTAAGTGAGTAGATAAATATAGCTCAAGTATATTCCAGTTGAGATAAATAGATATAGATTTTTAGAGTTCAAGTAATAATATTTATTTATATAAGTGAAATAAATAAATAAAATTTAAATGATATACATTAATTAAGTTAAATAAATTTAAATAGTCAGTTTTATGAATTACCAAAATAAACAATTTATTTATAAAAAAAAGATAGATAAGCATTTATAACTAATTTATTATATTTTATATTTATGATTAAATTAAATATATTTGTTAATATCCACCTTGACAGTTTTTTTAATATTTGTCTTGTATCAAATAATAAATCACCTAAAAAAATTGATTTTATTCAAATGATTTTAGAGCGTTTGTTTTAACTTTTTTGAATAAGTTTTATGGTGTTATTTTTGTTTGAAAAAAATATGAATAATTTTTTAAAAAAACTTCACAAAAAGATTAATTGAAATAAATTTTTTTTAAATATTATTTAAGATATTTTATCTTTTTACTTTGAATATTAAAATAGATTAATTATTATGTATTGTTACTATAAAATTCGTTATGCAGTCACAACCATTCAGAAAAAATACTTTATAAATAATTAAAATAAAAGTTAATTTTCAATAAATATTTAACGATCATGATCATGATTCATTGACAATGTAAAACTGTTTTACACTGCCGATACATATCAATTAAATTCATATTAAAATTTTTACATTTCATTTAAACTTAAAATAATTTTAAAAAAGTTTTCATAATAATTATATTTAAACATATCTCTTTAAAAAATTATATAATTATGAGGATATTTTAATATTTAAAAAATTATATTTATATAATTAGATATTTAAAAAACAAAAACAAACTTACATTATTTATATCTTTTAGATACTTTCTATGTGATCTGAAATAATATATTTTAGAGATGCAAGTATAGGGTAAAAACATTTTAGGAGAAGGGTAACATAGTGAGCCAAACATCGTAACTGAAATAAAAGCAGGCCGTAATTTTGGAAGGTTTGATAGAAAGTGACAAATAGAAACATTTGAGAAAGAAATTGACGATAAAAGGCAGAGTAAGAAAGAGAGAAAAGGTGTGAAGAAGAGTAGAGGAGGATGCAAATTACATGAGAAACCAACACAAACCTCCTCATTCATCACCACTCTTTCATCCCTTTTTCTAATGGAACAAACCTTTCTTCTTTTCAGATCTCTCTTGTCTATCCTTCAATGGTGGACTTTCAATGTCACCGTCATCATCGTCAACAAGTGGATCTTCCTGGTTCTGTTTTCTCTTCTCTATCTCTTTTCCATTTTTCCTTTTTTTTTTATTTAAAATCTTAATTAAACCTATGTTTAGATGCTTCAGTTTTTTTTTTTTAATTCAGAAATCGTTTTAAAATCGTTATATATGTGATTTTCGATAATCATTTTTTTATTTAGTTATTTTCTTAAGCAACGTGCCTTTAAGTCACTAATTAGGTAGAGGGAGAGGGAGAGGGATCTATATTTAGAAGTGATTTATTAATTTAAATTTTTAAAGAGAAAAGAAGAAGGGAGTTTTATTTAAAGGTTTCTTTAATAATGGTAATTAAGTCTAATCACTAGATTGTTTAGATCTTCTATGTTTTTGTTCTTGCACAATCCATATTGGAATTCAGGACTCCTCAATCCTCCTCAATCCATATAGTAAAGATTTGCATGGATTATAGCAAATATTTAATTTAATTTTGTATTTGCAGAAATTGGATTTCAAGTTCCCCCTTTCAGTATCCTGTGTCCACTTTATCTGCTCAGCTATTGGAGCATATGTGGTAATTAAAGTGCTGAAGCTTAAACCATTGATAACTGTTGACCCTGAAGACCGCTGGAAAAGAATCTTACCTATGTCATTTGTGTTCTGTATTAACATAGTGCTGGGTAATGTGAGCCTACGGTACATCCCAGTTTCTTTTATGCAGACAATTAAGTCATTCACACCTGCAACCACAGGTAAGGTTCCATACTTCCACATTTTTGCTACCCGCGTCATGTTCTGACTTTAGAATATTTTCATCTCAACTTGGTGAACTTGCACAGTTGTTTTGCAATGGCTAGTGTGGAGGAAGTATTTTGACTGGCGTATTTGGGCTTCTCTTATACCCATTGTTGGAGGGATTCTTCTCACATCTGTAACAGAGATGAGCTTTAATACGTTTGGATTTTGTGCTGCCTTACTTGGCTGTTTGGCTACATCTACAAAGACCATCCTTGCAGAATCTCTATTGCACGGATACAAGTTCGACAGGTACTATCTTTGTGCTACAGTTTTCTATTTTTTGCAACTTTATACTTTCGCCTTCTTTCTTTCTTTTCTCCATTTTTCTGTCTGGAATTCTCTATTTTCCCAGCTATTTGTGTCTGTAATACCTGCTCCTTATAATGGACAACAAGCTCTGAAGTCCTATATTATTTTTATTACTCCATTTTTTATTAATTTCTCTCCAATATAGACTAGGGAGTATTCTATGGGTGCTGCCAAATTTGGTTGCAGCAAACCTGCAAATGTTATCACAAATCATAACCTTTCAGGCATAGCAACTAAAGTCTTTTAAGCTAGGAGGATTCAAAAATTACTGAACTTGGCCTCTCACAAAAGTGGCTTGCGCATGGGTAGTTTTGTTGTGAATTGTGAACATAATTAATAAAGAAGGCCCGTGATATAGAGTAGCCGAAGAGGTCCAATTATTGGGTCAGCAACACAAGGACCTACAATATGGAAGGTTCGTTCTGGAAGGAATAAAAGGGGTCCTAGATTGTGTTAAATAATTGAGGTGGCAGGTAGTTAGCATTGGGGGGAAATGATTCACTTGGGAAAGTAGAATATAAGAGAGGTGTACGCATAGAGAGAAGGAAACTTGTTGGGACAGTTGGGCAGAGAATTTTTATAAGGAGCTTAGGCTCTGATCTTTCCTTGTCAGCTTTGCTTTAATTTAATGCGCTTGCGCTGGTGCCGTCTTGGGTGAGGCACCAATAACAATGCCTCACTGGTGTGCCAAATTGAAATTATTCAATACTCAATTCTTTCATTTAGTATTTGTTTCTCCCATGCCTATCCTTCACATGTCTAGATTTTGTCGAGAACCTCTGTATCCTCGTCAACCTTCCCTTCAATTGCTACCTCCCAACAATGAACTCCAATCTACCCAGTGTGATTGTCTCATCCCATCTACCCTCCTGATCCACCAATATCTAATTGGTTACCATCCCTAGCACAAAGGCGGCATCTCAACACCGCGTCTCACATTTCAGAAGTGTTTGCCGTCTTGGCAGCACCTTTTATTGGAGCAGCCTTGGTGGCGGTCTAATCCTTTTCACAATTGCCCTCAATGTCTACTCCTCTGAAGTATTGTTCAATTTGTTTGAAACACAATGCGTACAAAAGAGAACATTTTGTTCAACAAAATATCCCTCAAATCTCCTATTTATTTATTGAAAATAATATGATTACAAGAGTTTTCCTTCTATAATCCCCAGAACAGAGCTCCTTCAGATGATGGACATTCCTCTTGTCATCCACAACCGAAAAATACAAAGAGTACCAGTGAATCCCCACTCCTCTCTTTATATCATCCCTCCTAACATTTTTACCACATCAGCATTATCCTCTAATTTCCCCCAGACCACAACCCAGTGTCTTATCTTCCCACCTTAAATCCATGCTAATTTCCTTCTATACTTTTTTCATAGTTGGGTCCCTTAAAACACTTTGATAATTTGATTCCACTACTGCTCATTATTATCAAACTATATAAAATCCGTAACTCGAATCTAATTTCAAATAAAGATTCACTCCACTCCATGTCTAAAACTTAGATGATTGGGAGTCCTGGCTCCTGCTCCAGTTTCTTATCGATGAAGACACACCGTTGGAGGACACTAACAATAATAACACCACTGCCATGAGTCCTACGTGGGGTGAGGAAAGTTGTTTCGACGCCCTTTCGAGGGCACTGATTTCCCTACTTCAATCAATCCCTCAGGAGAGTTTGCGGTGGGATCTGACAAGACTGAGAAGGACAAAAAAAAATATGGCCGAGTTAACTCATTGAATGGCTAACCCCACCTTCGAACTCAATACAAACAATCTTGTAACAACTGTTTTTGGTGTAACTTTCAGCAAAAGGCATCTCCAATGGGATTTGGGAGCAGTATAGGAAGCCAACTTATGAGCAATCTCATTGTCAATGGCATTGAGATTCTCTTTGTCCTGTTTTTTTAGGATGATTTGGATCCCATGATAATTTTTTTAGCATGTGGAGCTAACAACTTCAAATAGAGCTATTCTGGTGGTGGAGGTGTGTTTAATGTGTAGTTTCAGGGTTTCAGGCTCAGTAGTGCTTCCGTTGTTAGTGTGCACGCTATTGCATTAACCATTGCAACAGTTGGGTGTTGAGGATGAGGTTCTTTATAGAAACAACAGTTTCTCATCATGCCGGGAAAAATAGATGTGGATAATTCAAAAAAACATTGGGGATTGGGTTCCAATTAAAAAAAATGTTGTCTAAAACCATAGTTGTTAATTTTAATAATGGGCCACTGGGGAGGATCTAGGGTGGTACCTCACCTGTTCAACCAGAATTCTATTCTGGTTCCTATACGTAATGAATGTAAATTTGTAATCGTTGGTGATCAATATTTGTGTTGCGCAGTAATTTTTTAATAGAGGAATGCTTTGTAGCATAGAGAAGACACAATTGCAGATGCATCTTAATTGGAATAATACTGGTCATTAAAATAAAAAGACGTTTTTGTTATAAAAATCAGGCTGGTTTATTCTTTGCATATTTGTTTGAAATAACTCATTTCTATTTTGATGTTGCTGGGTATAAACTTTTGCAACTTGTGTTAGAACATGGACAGCCATATATTTATGGAAAAAAAAGAACTTTTGCTAATTACTTGTCTTTTTCATGCTTGCATTGGATAACAGCACTAACAATTCTCTTCATGTTATCTTTAGTATAAACACGGTTTATTACATGGCACCTTATGCAACCATGATCTTGGTGCTTCCTGCCATGTTACTTGAAGGCAATGGAGTTCTGGAATGGCTTAATACTCATCCATATCCTTGGTCGGCCCTCATCATTATTTTCAGTTCTGGGGTGTTGGCTTTTTGTCTTAACTTCTCCATTTTTTATGTGATCCATTCCACCACTGCTGTAACTTTTAACGTTGCTGGGAATCTTAAGGTGAGATTTATAACACAATGGTTCAAGCCACTAACTAAAATTTTCACTCTTTTAACTTTCAATTAAGTTATTTTGCATTTGTTAAATTAACCTGAAACATGTATTTTGTGCAGGTTGCTGTTGCTGTCCTTGTTTCTTGGCTGATATTTAGGAACCCAATCTCATATTTTAATGCCGCTGGGTGTGCCGTGACTCTTGTGGGTTGTACATTCTATGGTTATGTGAGGCACTTGCTCTCTCAACAGCCATCAGTTCCAGGAACTCCTCGGACACCAAGAACCCCTCGGAGTAAGATGGAGTTGCTTCCACTTGTAAATGATAAATTAGAAAATAAGTTCTAATAGTAATTGGGTTAGCTACATATATGAGGTTTCCTCTGTCATTTGGAAGACAGATATAGCAATAGGTCTAAAAATATGAAAGTGACTTTGGATATTTTTTGTGTTAGAATACCCCCAAAATATTTAATACAAGAGTCTTTCTTGTTTCTTTAGCCCCCAGTCTTTGTCAGTTGTGTTTTTCTAGCATAGAGTTGTATGTAGCCCACGGGCGATGATTGTTAAGTTATTGTTTTTTTGTAATTGCAAATGAGTTGGACTTAACATACCTAACAGTAATTTGTTATTAGTGTTTCTAATGAGTTGGACTTAACATACCTAACAGTAATTTGTCTATTAGTGTTTCTGATGCATGTGATTACAAATATAGTTTTAACATTATGTGCAGGATACTTATTTTTGTGTTACTATTTCCGTGCTACAATACAAAGACAAAACATATCTTAACAGTACTTCAAACTAGACTTGAGTTGCAACTCCAAAATTTCTGGTTTCTATTTCAATGCTTATCAGTGTGCTAATTGTCCATTTGTGTTTCAAATGCATGTGAATTGCAACAAAGAGAGGTTACTTTTTATAAAAACTCTGAAGAGTTTATGGCAAATTTCAGCCAGTGTAGAAAACTTGAGAATCATGAGTTTAATTAAACCCACACTTCTAACAAGACCAATGCAGGTTATTTATTATTTGCAGTACTATTATTAATGGTGCTGCAATGACTTGATTTTCTAGATCTTGAGCAAAATATCAACCCAAAATATGAATGAAAATATTTCACAAGCATGGACCACTTGGTGATTTTCAAACATGTCTTTGAGTACCAATTACCATGATGTCTAAAAATGACAAGCCTTATTTCATTAGTAAAGTTACGATACACAAGTCAGAATTAGTTACATAGTGAGATAGATTATAGGTGACAATACAAATATTAAGGTTAATTTATTTCCCCATTTATCCCTCTAATGAGATCTAACCTATAATCTAAGCCAAAAGCCAGAAGTTCTTCTGCCACCTGGTGCTGATAAGGTAACCATTATTGCCCTGGCTTCTCTTCCTTACTCCTATTGTCAAGCACTCTGCATTATTGATACAGTACTCCACAAACTCTTCTGTGCTACTGCAGCTGCCACTTCCACACAGACTGTAAAAAGTAATGAATAATTTACAATCACTAAACCATGTTAAGAAAAAACTCAGAATACATACATTAGTAACAAGAGAAATTTTGAAAGTATGTTATCAAAAAGTTGTTACCAGCTTAAGAGGGAAGGTGGCTTCTTTTGGCCTAGTACCAGGATAGAGACCTCCAATTTCTTAACCTGGCTCATCACCGTGTCAAGTTTTGGTCCTTGAATTACAAGTGCTTCCACTTCCACCTATGTCAGACCATAACATTATCATAAAGCTTAAAAAGAAAAGCATAAAAAAACACAAGGGACCAGTGCATGCAGCTCAAAGTTCAGACACTAGCTAATGCCATCTAAAGTTGTATAAGAAAGTGAGTATCCTAATTCATACTTAATTAACTCTCAACAACATTGAAAACTCACATAATTTTTTGAGTCTAGATTTCCAAAGCATAATGAAACTTGAGAAAAAGAGCAAAATCTAACAGAATTAAAAAACTTAAGCAAGTCAGTACCTCTGGTTTGCAATCTTTGCAAAGTGACCCAAGATGATTAACAAGATAAGCAGAAGAATAAGAGTCAGAACTAGCCCTTTGTGGAGAAACAATGTGAAGCAAAGTGAACAAATCACCCTTATTAACAACATGAGTAAGAGCCCAAATCATGGCATGTTTAGAATGAGAAGAACCATCCACAACAACCATAACTCTTTTCCTCACCATCATGCCAGCACTCTCTTCATTTCCATACATGTTTATGTTAAACCCTTCCATTTGACTCAGATTAGTTTCAAAGTCACTACAAGTGGTGCTGTAGGTGTTTTTTCCACTCCACCTGTTGGATGTTGATTTCCAAGTTTCCTTAGCACTTACCTGTCTCAAAAATGAAGATGAAGTTGGCATTTTGAAGTGAAATTTGAGACCCTTTTTATGTAACAACAATAATTGCTAGTTGAATAGGTGAAAATGAGAGAGTAGGGTGCTAGAGTGTAGCAGAGGCTTTGTTTGGCAGATTATTTACTTACTATGCTGCAGAAAAGAAGAGAGAGAAAGTGAGAGAAAGAGAAAGAGAGAGATAGAGAGAGAGAGAGAGAGTGAGGGCATGTGGGGGGAGACGTAATGCAAATTACAGTACAAAGATGAGTGAGGTTTTATTTTTTGTGCAGATTAAAGTGTCACGGGAATCTGTGGTCTGTTTTGTGCATGATGAAAAACTAGACATTTATGAAACCTCTTTCATCTATTTAAGATTCCTTTCTACATGTTTTGTCATTGTAATTGTAATTTTTTTTTGGTTTTTGATATAGATTTTGTTGGCTCATTATATAATCTAACTCGTAATATTGATATAAGGCATAAAATATGATGGGTTAATTAGCTTATGTCACGTAATGCACGTGATGTAAAGTGGTCCATCAATAAAGAGTAATGTGATTACTTAGATCTATTACTTCTACTAGTTCTCTCTTCGCACTTTCATCTAACTGATCAAATAAATCCGGTCCGTCGAATATGTTTGTTTTATTCAAATTTTTTTGCAGGGTGAGTTAAGATTTAACCCTTCATCATCCACTTAAAAGTTTTCAATTTTAAATTTTAAAGGTATAGTGTTTGATGCTACATGGTGATTTTAAGTTCAATACTACCAGTAGTATAGTACTATTTGGAGGTGGGCATTAACGTAAGGCAAAATCACTTTAACAAAATAGTAATCAATCAATCAATGTTCCAAATAGAGCTAGCGTAAGGGAAACATCTATAATATGTTTAAGAATATGGAGTATTAGTTGCTCTAAAATTAATTGCTAGTAATTAACTGTAAAAAAAATGATGCTAGCTTTAAATTCATGGTTCTAGTCTTTTGTTGAAGATTGTTATGATTTTAAAGTTTTCACCATTTTAGAAACCTCACCGTCCCAAATTTAAATCAAATTTATTGCACCAATTTTATAAAAATAGATTTCTTTACTTCTCATTCATTCACTTGTTTCAGAAGTTCTGACAGGGGAGTAAAGAATCTGGACCAGACAAGTTATTAATGTTGATATTATAATAACAATACATTGTCATTAAAATAAAACGTAAAGTTTAATTCACTGGATTATGAGAATTAAAAGTGTTAAATGAATTAAATTAGTACTACAATATTAAACATAATTTGGAGTGGAAGAGTGAGTTAGTGAGTATATTAAAGGAGTTTGTCAGAAAGGAATAGAGAGCCTCGTGAATTGGGTTTTTGTATTTTGTTTGGTATTGGGTAAGTGAGTGGTAAGCAGTGATGAGTGATGACTACAACTCAGAAGTTTGTACTTCCAAATTATTGCTCCTGCGTAGATCGCTGAACCAAGCACTTGATTCAATTCAATTACTATCTTGGCCTTTTCCACCTGTGTTATTTACCTCACTTCATATGCTTATATATCCATATCAAATTTCAATCCTAATTGTCATTCAAACAACAACTACCAAGATATTATTTTTTGAAAAAGAAAAGAAAATTGGAAAATTTTCTTATCAAATACTTTGAATACTCAATTGATAACAAAAATAAGAGTTATTCTCTCTATTTATAATTGAACTTACTTTCTCTATAAATCAAAAAATCCAAAACTATAAAAAGCTCAAAATACTTATTTTAAAACTAAATCAAATCTGCGTGTAGCAACTGTTTCGACACACTATCTAACTAATTCGACACACAATATATTGGGTGTTTCGACACATCTTACGTTGAACAACATTCTACTTCGACACAAAGAATTACACTTTCAACAAATTCAACCATGAGATATTGAGAGGAGCACAGTCTCAAGATCTAAGTTTTCATCACTAGGTTAACCTCTAAGGATTAACCACTACAAGATATTGATTTGGGATTCAAATTGATGAATGAATTTGGATTTAGATGGTTGGAGAAAATCATTTAAGTAAATGGATGATCCGAGTTGGGACTAATGCCAAATGTCATCAATATTCAAACATGCACTACATTCTCGCAAAGATCATACATCCAGTGATATCGCTTTCATCATTTTATCAATGGCTTGCGAATATTTTAGGACTCTTTACCTAACATTGAGAAAGTTAAAATTCTCACCTATATATGTGAACTATTTTACTAAATGGATTGAAACAGATACATTGTCAAAGATCATGGTGGACAAAGTAAGACTCTTTTACTATGAAGAGAATAATTTATAAATTTGGATTATCAGTATCCAATGTTTTGGACAACAAAATTCAAATCACTTACTCTATTATACATGAATTTTGCCATCAGATTGAAGTTCAAACTAAGTTTGTCTCGGTTTAACATTCTTATCACCCAAAAACTCACACCTCTACTAAGGAGACACCATTTAAGATAGAGTATGATTTGACGTCAATGTGCTCGTAGAATTAGGTCTCGTCATTAAGCTTTGTAGACTATCATGACCTCATTTAACCCCTTCGCCTTTACAAGTCTCATGCTTGAGGGAGGGTAAGTTGATGTATCCTCGTTTAACCAATTCTACCTTATAGGTCTTGTACTTGAGAGATTGTGGACTATTATGTCCTCCTTTAACCACTTATCTTGCATGTCTCGTGATTGAGTGATTGTGGACTACTATATTTTCTCTTAATCAGTTATCCCCTATAATCCTCGTGCTCGAGATTTATAGACTACTCTTTCTTTAATCAATTGCCTCACATAAGCCTCGTGCTTGAGAGATTGCGGACTGTTATATCATTCTTTAACCACTTCGTTCTTATTGACCTCATGCATAAGTAATTGTTGACTATTATGTCCTTTTTTAACCAATTTGACCTTATTAACCTCGTGCTTAAGGAACTGTTGACCATTATGTTCTCCTTTAATCACTTTGTCCTTATAAGTCTTGTATTGGAGAGATTGTGGACTATTATATTATATCACAAACCCATTAAATATCAATGGTCCGGTCCATTAACCACACTTTATCCCGTAAATAGGACATACAATTAAAAACAAGTTAGGCGGGGTCAAACACGTGTCTGACGTGGAGGCGAGCTTGTCGCACTCCGTTACAAAGTTTGTTTCTAATAAGGGTTAAATATGTTTGTGTTCTCCTAAATATTGTGAAATTCGTTTTTAATCCCTCAAAAAATTTCCTTTAAAGAATAGTCCTTCTAATGTTTTTCGTCCATACTTTTAGTCCCTGTCGTCTATTTGGTCTAACAGAAGCTGACATGACGGCCATGTGTCACGCCACGTCAACTAAAGTCAAGACTGCAGATAAAGATACAGATTGCAGGGGTTTGAAACCCCCTTTAAATAATTGGAAAAAAAATAATTTCTCACAAGCAATTATTCAAACAATTGGTAGGCAAATATTTTTATCCATCATTCCTCAGATCATCATCATGGTAACTAATCATTTTTATACCTCATTCTTCATATCATCATCACAAAAGCTATAAATAAGGAATACCAAATACATGCAACGTAAACTTATAATTTATATATTGAGATATGTTATCCTTTTTTCTCTGTCCTTAAGACAACCCTTTGAAAAAGGTTTCAGCATGATCCTGAGCATTATTTTGAGGATTGGATGAAAGATGAGATGTAGATGAGACACCTAAGCCTTTGGAAAGACACACAAACTTATAAACTAATTGTTTGTAATTATTTAGAAGATCTTCGACGTCACTTACTCTTAGATTACCTACACCAGACAAGAAATAAATATGAATTATGTGTCGTCTCACTATAAAAAATTCAAAATACTTATTTTAGAACTAAATCAAATCTGTGTGTAGCAACTGCTTCGACACACTATCTAACTAATTCGACACACAATATATTGGGTGTTTCGACACATCTTGCGCAGAACAACATTCTACTTCGACACAAAGAACTATATTTTCAACAAATTCAATCATCAGATGTTGAGAGAAGCACAATCTCAAGATCTAAGTTTTCATCACTAGGTTAACCTCTAAGGATTAACCACTACAAGATATTGATTCGGGACTCAAATTGACGAACGGGTTTGGATTTAGATGGTTGATGAAAATCATTTAAGTAAATGGATGATCCAAGTTGAGACTAATGCCAAATGTCATCAATATTCAAACATGCACTACATTCTCGCAAAGATCATACATCCAGTGATATCACTTTCATAATTTTATCAATGGCTTGCGAATATTTTAGGACTCTTTACCTAACATTGAGAAACTTAAAATTCTCACCTATATATGTGAAACAGATACATTGTCAAAGATCATGGTGGACAAAGTAAGACTCTTTTACTATGAAGAAAATAATTTATAAATTTGGATTATCAATATCCAATGTTTTGGACAACGAAATTCAAATCACTTACTCTATTATACATGAATTTTGCCATCAGTTTGAAGTTCAAACTAAGTTTGTCTCGGTTTAACATTCTTATCACCCAAAAACTCACACCTCTACTAAGAAGACACCATTTAAGATAGAGTATGATTTGACGTCAATGTGCTCGTAGAATTAGGTCTCGTCATTAAGCTCTGTAGACTACCATGACCTCATTTAACCCCTTCGCCTTTACAGGTCTCATGCTTGGGGGAGGGTAAGTTGATGTATCCTCGTTTAACCAATTCTACCTTATAGGTCTTATACTTGAGAGATTGTGGACTATTATGTCCTCCTTTAACCACTTCTCTTGCATGTCTCGTGATTGAGTGATTGTGGACTACTATGTTTTCTCTTAATCAATTATCCCCTATAATCCTCATGCTCGAGGGTTATAAACTACTCTTTCTTTAATCAATTGCCTCACGTAAGCCTCGTACTTAAGAGATTGTGGACTGTTATATCATTCTTTAACCACTTCGTTCTTATTGACCTCATGCTTAAGTAATTGTTGACTATTATGTCCTTTTTTAACCAATTT